TCTTCCGTATTGACCTCCTCTGGTGCAAATAATGACAAATTTATGAACTTCTGTTCATACTCAGCCACAGTCATATCTTCCTGTTGCAGATCCAGAAATTCGGTCTTCATCGCTGATCTTACTGACATAGGAAAATACTTGCCGTCAAAGCGAGTCTGAAATTCAGCATACGTCAATCTGGTCCTCTCATCGACAGTAGTAATAGACTCCCACCACTGCAATGCATTGCCTATCAGCATAAACGTAGCCAGCATCTGTTTCTGCACTTCGGTACAGATTACCATCCGAAGATGACGCTCGCTCTCCTGTTTCCACTGATATGCTAACAAGACATCTGTGGACCCCGCAAATGTCGGTGGATTTCCCCGGATGAACGAGTGACGAACTTTGTCCCATGACATTGGCTGTGCCACTGGTTCAGGAACAGGTACTATCGGAGGAGGTTGCTGGTTTCGTAGAGCAGATGCTACTCCTGCTGCCACCGCTCGTGCAATGATATCAGCAACTTGAGGAGAAAATTCCTGATTCTCATTTTGAGTTGGGGAAATACTGCGATGACGGTTCGCATTCCTTGTCCCGCGCCGAGACATCCTTCTATTAAATTCAGAAAGAATCTAACGTCAGTACATTATCATGGACCGACTAAAAGAATACAAAGAACCCTAATACTTAGGCTCTAATTATCAGAATACACAACGCGGAAGTATAGTAATCACAGATCCCTAAGACACTCGAACCTGGAATGCTCTGATACCAACTGTAACACCCCCACATTTTCCACGCATAAGTTGATCAAGCTTATACACGAAAAACGAGGGATATCAAAAACAATTGGCAATATACAAGCATGGAATACAAAATGATGGAAATGAAAGAATTTAGACAGGAAAGAAACATTAAATAATACAACATCCATCCATCCTTTATTTAATACAGTACTTCATTACAACTTGGAAATCCTACGTCAGGGATCCCTAAATATAACCCTGAGAGTTCAACGTCAAAAGTAAATAAAAACTGAAACTGAAATACTACATAAAACTTCTACCCTGCACTGGATCGTAGGAGTAGATGAGTTCGGATGATGGTCCCACACTGCTAACCTCAGCCTTGAAACGGATACTGACCGTATCCTGAAATAACAACAATGGTGGGTCAACCCCACGAGCAAGTCCTCTCTACTATGACCCAAATCAGAGAATCAAATAAATTAATCATTATGAATCGGATGAGTACTATATCTGTATACATCCTACGGGAACTATCCGATGTATAACATGACCTCAACCAGAATAGACGGTGATCACTTAGACTCACACTAGGTGGTTAAGTGTCGCCTTTCCCTACCCGGGAAATCAGCTATTATACATGGTGCACGGTACTGACAACACAGACTATAACGAACTACACAGTGATAACACCTCGCAAAGTACTGATGAATATACTGAGCATATAAATTAGGCAACACATGCCAACAATATTAATAAAGATACCGAGAATGTCAATTTAGGCAACACATGCCAATAATATTAATAAATATACCAAGTATGTCAGTTAGGCAACACATGCCAATAATATTAAACCACATACCCCGACAGCCACACATCTGTCTATCGCAACGAATGCATAAGGTATAAATGAGTCTAAACTTATTAGTCAGCTCACATGGTTCTATATGGCAACACATCCATATAATATAAATGCGACATAATAAACAGTCCATTTATTCCCTGAAATGCACACAGCATAATAATCATGATTTATATACGATTAACAGTATAAACATCCCGTAAGATATCATGGATAATTTATCTGACTAAAACCATGGCCTTATTTCATTTAACAATAATGTTTGATACCATTAAATACGATAATAACACTATTTATATTTAACAATGTCGTTAAATAAATCACATTAGTATCCGTACTGCGAACGAGCCAATAAATGCTTAGAAAAGATTAATCGGCCATAAAAATAAGTAACGGGTGTTAAAATAATAATTTCGTGGCCCGTTAAACCCGTAATTACCAACACAGTACCTAAAAATCCAAGTTTAAGGTTCTGGAATTTACAAAACAGGCCCTAGGGGTATTCTGGTAATTTCCAGCAGCTGTAGGGACCCCACACGCGCCCTCACGCGCCTCCCAGAGCCTCCCCACGCGCAGCCAAGCTTTCCCCACTCTCCCACGCGCCTCCACGCGCGTCTGGCATCAGCCACGCGCCCGCACGCGCTTCCACGCGCGTCTGGAGAGTCCCACGCGCGCGCACGCGCTGCCACGCGCGCACTAAGGGTGCCTTGCTGACGCGGCGTCCTCCGGTTGGTTGGCTGCATCAGCTTTCCTGCATGCGCGCCACACCGGATCAATCCACCTGCATCTCCTCCATCCAACGTTCCCTGATCCGGGTGTACCGCGGTATCATGGACCGCGATGCACCGGATCAATCAGACTCCATTAATGGCCAGGATGCGCGCGTACACCCTCCTATGGTGCGCCGCGTCGCACCGGATCACTCCGGTCGTCTCCCCCACTGCCGGCGACCGGAAAACTCGCCGGAAGGTCGCCGGAAATTGCAGAAAATGCTCGAAAAAATCTAGAAAATTCTAGAAAAATCCCTAAAGTCTTATTTAATTATTTTTTAGCCATTATTAATTTCATAGGACATTAAATAAATATATACCATCCTATATAATTAAAATTCCATTAATTTAATAAAATAAAATTAAGAATTTATTAACCTCCAAACCTTGGCTCTATGCATAAAAATAAGCTAAACAATTAATTTATTAATTCAAAGGGGAAAAGTAGATAATAACTTGCCTTTTTGGATTTAAAATAAATCCGCCGGTCTGCACGTAGTCGGGTAAAATTGCCTACACCGGTCCAAGCTTCTTTCTCTTTCTCTTTTCCTTTCACTCTTATAAAATAGCTCTCTAGAGTTTATACTTTGCTTCTAACTCCCTTTATTTTTTTTCTAAGGCAAGCTAGTTAATTTATACACAAAATATATAATATAAATATTACAAATATCTAATTTATAATAACTTCTCACCCATTTCTCATATTCCTACCTATATGGCTTTAAGACAATGCTATCTTTAATCAAGATATTTGATCCACCATTCTACCATACTAAATGAAATTCTATCCTAGTATTTAATTTTCCATCATTACATTGATTTATTATAACTATTATTATTATTATTACTAATATTATTATTAATAAACTTTTATTATTATTATTATTATAATATTATTATTATTATTATTAAACTAATATAATTATTATTATTGTTATTACAAAATAATATATTATATCATCATAATACGTTATAACACAAATATAATATTCTAATTAACTAATATTGCTTAATTAAACAAAATAAACAAATAATAATACATGCACAATTAAATACATAAATTTACTATTTTAACATACACAATTAATTTACATGCACCATTAAATGAACTTAATATAACAATGAAGCATGCACAATAATAGGTACAGGAATCCACACATAATTGAATTTAAATACACTAAACTCTTTAATTAATTACGGGGTATTACAAGGATACTCATCCTCCCCGACATGAGACCAAAGTTGAACAAAGCCAGGTGGGAAACCGACATAGAGAGGTGATCCACCCCTTTCTTCCACGGAGTTCCCGACCCCATGAAGACACGACCGTCATTGAAAAGACCGAGGAAATTTTCCACGTTGACCTAGAAATGCAGGATCTCAAGGCAAAGATGGAGGGTGTGATGCAGGCCATGAAGGGAAAAGGCATTGCAGCCATAGATGGTTTGGTGCAGAAAACCAATTTGCCATTCAGCCCCTCGGTTATGAAATGCCCTTTGCCAAGCAAATTTAGATAGCCCACAATTGAGAGTTTCGACGGAACTAAAGATCCCCTCGACCACTTGGAGACTTTTCAGGCGCTTATGCACCTACACGCGATGCCGGATGAGATCATGTGCAGGGCTTTCCCAACGACTCTTAAAGGATCAGCACGGGTATGGTTCAACAAACTAAAGCCAGGAACCATCGAAACCTTTGAAGAATTGAGTAAGGGCTTTGTGGGCCATTTCATTGCTGGCCAGAGGCATAGAAGGCCGGCTACCCACCTCCTTACTGTGAAGCAACAAAAGGGAGAGTCACTGCGAGATTACATTAGTCGTTTTAACACGGAAATGTTACAGGTGGAGGAAGCGGATGACAAGGTGGCCCTAGCCGCCTTCATGGGAGGATTTCAAACCTCAAGATTTCTCTTCTCTTTATCAGAGGAACCTCCTACCAACATGGCCGAGTTATTGGTTCGAGCTAAAAGACATATGAATGCTGAAGATGCAATGATTGCAAGAAAGGGAAAGAAGGGGAGGATAAGAAGTCAGACAAGAAAAGGCCGGCCCTGACGATCAGAGATGAAAAGGAAACCAAGTATAAGAAACCCATGGTCAACCAGAATGAAAGGGCATCTCGCTATAAGAACACGGAGAGGTATACAAATTACACTCCTTTAAATATGCCGATAGATCAAGTTTTCCTACAGATCCAGGATGAACCATATCTGAAGTGGCCATCGAAGTTGAAGTCAAATCCGGCAAGGAGACCTCGTGATAAGTATTGCAGGTTCCATAAAGACCATGGGCACGCTACAGAGGATTGCTTCGACCTTAAGGATCAAATTGAGACTCTGATCTGAAGGGGGCACATGCGAAAATTTATTGTGGGGAATGACAGAACCGACATTAACCCACTAAGAGTAGGCCGAGATAACCACCCTCCTGATCAACAACCAATAGGAGAGATCAGGGTCATAGCCGGGGGGTGTGCAGGAGGTAGAGAATCGAGCTCAGCCCGTAAGGCCTATGCAAGGAGAATGCGAAGCTCATCTGAGGTGTGCGAAGTGGGAGTACAGATTCAATATCAAAAGATGCCTCGTTTAGGTGATCCAGTTATTACATTCTCAGATGAAGACATGAAAGATGTGCAGTCACCATGATGATCGCTAACTATAATACTCGGCGAATCTTGGTAGATAATGGAAGTTCAGCTGATATCATTTTTCTTGATGCATTCAGCAAGATGAAGATTGGTAAGGAGAAACTCAGACCTACCAGATCACCATTGGTGGGATTCACGGGAGACAAAGTCTATCCTCTAGGAGCAGTCATCCTTCCTGTCACTGCAGGAACCAGCCCAAAACAAGTCACTGTCATGGTCAACTTCCTGGTGGTGGATTGTCCTTCTACTTACAATGTCATCCTAGGAAGAGCGACCTTAAATTCGATGAGGGCTATCACTTCGACTTATCACCTATTAATGTGCTTCCCTACCGAGCATGGCGTGGGCGAACTAAGAGGAGATCAGTCCATTGCCAGAGAATGCTACGTTGCCTCTCTCAAAGAAAAGAGACAGCAGGAGGCTTTGATTGTCGATGAAGTTGAAGAGAATGAGCAAGACTGGGCTAAGCCAATCGAGGACTTGGTGGAGATATGCTTGAATGACACTGACATAACAAAAAAGGTGAAGATAGGGTCTCTGCTCCCCTCAGATTTCACAAATATTCTTATACAGTTCCTCAGACAGAATCAAAATGTATTCGCCTGGTCACATGAAGACATGCCCGGTATTAATCCAACTACGATTGAGCATCGATTAAACACAGATCCTACATTCAAACCTATCAGGCAAAAGCGAAGAACATTTGCCGCGGAAAGGAACATGGCTATATCAGAAGAGGTGAATAAGCTTATGAAAGCTGATTTCATCCAGGAGGTTCATTATCCCGACTGGTTGGCCAATGTTGTTTTGGTAAAAAAGGCCAATGGAAAATGGAAGTTGTGTGTAGACTTTACGGATTTAAATAAGGCATGCCCCAAAGACAGTTTCCCTCTGCCAAGAATTGATATGTTGGTAGAAGGGACAGCTGGCCATGAGCTGCTCAGTTTTATGGATGCATACTCAGGGTATAACCAAATCTCAATGCACACGCCAGACAGAGATAAAACCTCTTTCATCACGGACTGAGGTTTATATTGCTATAAGGTGATGCCTTTGGGCTAAAAAATGCTGGTGCAACATATCAGCGGCTAGTAAACCTGATGTTTAAGGACCAAATCGGAAGGAATATGGAAGTGTATGTGGATGACATGCTGGTAAAAAGCTTGAAAACTCAAGACCATCTGGTTGATCTACAGGAAACGTTCCAAGTCCTCAGGAAACACCAGATGAAGCTCAACCCAAGTAAATGTGCCTTCGGAGTCTCCTTTGGGAAATTCCTCTGTTACATGGTAAGTAGAAGAGGGATAGAAACTAACCCTGAGAAGGTCCAGGCGATTCTCAACATGCAGTCTCCAGCATCGACCAAGGAACTTCAAAGATTGACAGGAAGGATCGCAGCTCTGAACAGGTTGATTTCCAGGGCGACCGATAGGTGTTTGCCTTTTTTCCGTGTGCTCAGGAAAGCTTTTTCATGGACCCCTGAGTGCGAGCAAGCTTTTACAGAGCTAAAGGAGTATCTCACTTCACCACCATTATTGTCGCGGGCGATGTAAGGAGAACAGTTGTATTTGTACTTGGCAGTTTCTCCGTCGGCAGTAAGCTCAGCCTTGGTCCGCGAAGAGGATGGAAACCAGAAACCGGTATATTACATTAGTCGTGCATTCAGGGGGGCGGAAGAAAGATACCTAAGGATAAAAAAGTTGGCATTTGCTCTAGTTATCTCCGCGAGGAAACTCAGGCCTTACTTCCAAGCTCATACAATAATAGTATTGACGGACCAACCACTTAGGCAGGTTCTCCGCAAACCTGATACTTCAGGGCTACTCATGAAGTGGTCGGTAGAACTTGGAGAGTTTGATATCCAATACAAACCCCGAACAGCCTTAAAAGCCCAGGTACTGGCAGATGTTATAGCGGAATTCACACCAAAAGATGGGCCAGAGCATGCTGCAGATAAGCAGGAAGAAGCTGAATCTACTTGGACGTTATATGTGGATGGGTCTGTCAACTCCCGTGTAAGTGGGGCAGGGCTAGTAATTATCTCCCCAAATGGGGAATGCATCAAATATGCACTCAGGTTTGGTTTTAAAGCAACCAACAATGAGGCAGAGTATGAAGCCTTCCTAGCAGGCCTCAGGATGGCGAAAGCTTTGGAAGTTGAACGACTAGTAGCATATACTGACTCTCAACTAATAACTGGACAAGTCCAAGGGGAATATGAAGCCAAGGATGAGAAGATGAAGACCTATTTACATAAGATAGAGGATATCAAGGGTTTTTTTAAGAAGTTTTCTATTCACCGGATTCCCCAAGAAAAGAATGCGCATGCAGACGCCCTGGCTCGACTGGCAACCACAGAGGAAGATAAAGCCATACCCGTGGGATATTTGGATGAGCCTAGCACGTTCTAGGATTGGCCACAGAAAATACACCAGGTGGCCCATGGCATGGAGTGGGCAGAACCCATTATCAGGTACATTGAGAACGAAGAGCTACCCCAGGACCGCATGGAAGCACGAAAGATTAGGATGCGTGCGGCAAAATATTCCCTCGTTGATGGGGTTCTCTACAAGAAGGGATTTTCTCTACCCTACTTGCGTTGTGTCTCCATTGATGAGGCAAATTACATTCTAAAGGACATACATGAAGGCCTTTGTGGAAATCATGCTGGGGGCAGATCACTAGCGCATAAAGCTATCCGACAAGGATACTTTTGGCCTACTATGAGGACAGATGCACTTGAGTTTGTGAAGAAATGTAACAAGTGTCAGAGATTCGCCAATATCCCAAAACAACCAGCAGAAAAGTTAACCCCTCTTACAGGGCCGTGGCTTTTTGCCCAATGGGGGACAGACCTCATCGACCCCTTACCCCAAGGGAAGGGACAAACTAAATACGTAATTGTGGCTATCGATTATTTCACCAAATAGGTAGAAGCTGAGCCATTAGCTCATATTGGAGCGAATGAAGTAAAAAAGTTTTTCTGGAAGACAATAATCTGCAGGTTCGGAGCACCAAGGGTAATTGTGACCGATAATGGGAAGCAGTTTGAAAGTGAGCAGTTCCTCGATTTTTGTAATGAACTTGGGATCAAAGTTCATTTATCCTCTCCTGCCCATCCCCAAGCCAATAGGCAGGTTGAAGTCACGAATAGGACAATATTGAAGATGATCAAGACACGCCTAGAAAAGGCCAAGGGCTTGTGGCCTGAACAACTACCTGGAGTTTTATGGGCCTATCGCACTACCGTAAGAACCCCTACTGGGGAGACCCCTTTTGGGTTAGCTTTTGGAAGTGAAGCTGTGATCCCGGTAGAAACAAAGGTTGCTACCTTCAGAACCAAGTATTTTGAACCTCAACAGAACGGAGTGGAACTACGATTAAACCTAGACCTGGTAGAAGAGAAAAGGGAGCAGGCCCAGGTCAAGGTTGCGGCTTACCAGCGGATGATATCCAAGTACTACAATGCCCGAGTCAAGCCAAGGAGGTTCGAGCCAGGAGACCTGGTGCTTCGTGAGGTTACCTCGGCTACTAAGGAAAAAGGGGGAAGGAAAGTTAGCTCCCAATTGGGAGGACCCTTATCGAGTAACCAAAAGCAACAGACCGGGGGCATACTGGTTAGAGTCACTTGGTGGAAGCCAGCTTCCCCACCCGTGGAATGCAGAACATTTGAGGAAATATTACCAGTAGGTACTCATGCCAGGCTGTGTTTTATTTTATTATCTCACTTTTAAAAGTGATAGAATGTTTTTAGCTACAATAAAGCAGACCAGTGTGTAACAGATGCTAATATTCAACTATCGATTATTATTTTCGATAGGTCTTTAATAAAATGGTTATTCGTATTTATTGCACGTGTTTCTACTGAATTTTATAAGTCACATAAGGACTAGTGACACATTAAGTCCCCTTCTTTATTAAAAGAAATAAGTGACTTTTCCTTACTAAAGGGACGAGCTGGGTGAAGCTCGTAAAAATATGTTCCTTCGAAAGAAGGACGGGCTGAGTGAAGCCTGGGAAAGTAAAATGAGTTCTGTATAAGGAAACAACAAGTATGGAACAATACTATGAAAGACAAAAGTAGAGCAACTATTCTCTGGATTCAAAGATATTCTGAAAAGTTTTAAAGGAACAACATACTGAGAAATCAAAAAACCTAATATATATATATATATATATATATGACTAATACTATGGAATTCAATCTTCCTCTTCGCTCTCACTTAGAACGTCATACCTAGAAAAGTCTATGTCTGGACGATTTTTGCCGACAAGAGCTTTGAACCGGTCAAAACCATCACAGCAAGCCTTGCCTATGAGCACCTTGAATTCATTAGAATTTTTAAAACTCTCCACGGCAGCTAGCTTCTCGAATTCCAGCTTATCAGAGTATTCTTTGGTAAGTTTCACTTTCTCATCTTGAAAGTTTAATTTTGCATTAGTCAAGTCATCTTCTTTTATTTTAAGTGTAGAAGTAACATCTTCATATTTAGCCTTGAGGGAAGCCATCTCTAAGGAAAGCTTCTCGTATTCTTTGGCGATAACAATAGAGTATGTAGTGCCCTATAAATAAATAAATAGTGGCGAACAGTTAAAAATAAATAAATAAATAAACGAAAAAAAAAGAGATGCGCATAATAAGGGTAAAATCTCACCTGGCTGATTAGATGAAGAAATTTCTTTGAAAGCTCAGATGCTGGCAGACTCTGTAATCTGGCAGTGTCGTCTTTTACTACCATTTTATGTAACCTGTCATTCGCGACATTAGCGTCATCGAGAATCGATTCCCCGTGGGAAAAGGCTTGGTTGGTTGATATTGAACAAAAACTTTCGAAACTAGTAAGAACCCCACCAAATCCGCTGAAACCTAGAGGTACAAGAGTAGGACCTGATAACACTCCAGGGCTTGCGGATGTACCATGATTCCCTTCTCCTACCCTTCGTAATTTTTTGGAAGCAGGAGTAGAAGGGAGATTACTTGACCGGACTTGGGTTAGGAGTCTTTTACTGAGCTTCTTGCCTGCATAAAAAGTAATAAGGGAAATACTTAATGAGATATTAACTAAAAATCAATAAGTTCACATATAAGTATGTTTGTTTTTCTTACCTTTCTCTAAGTGGGTGGAGGTTTCCTTTGAGCTATGAGCTCGTACATACAAATCTAAAGCCTCGTCAGTTATGAGATCGCTAAAGGTCTTTACTGGGTAAGAAGAGGCATTACCAACATTCTCGGCTTCTGGAATGGAGAGGGTTGGTTTGTCTTTAAATTCTGGGAAAAAGAATAATAAGTTGCACCTAAAAAAAAAAAAAAAAAAAAGTTCCTATTCATGAACAGTACCCGAGGGTACTATTCCCTCGGGTGCACAAAAAAAAAAATAAATAAATAAATATTCCTATTCATGAACAGTACCCGAGGGTACTATTCCCTCGGGTGCAAAAAAAAAAAAAAAAAAAAAAAAAAAAAAAAAAAATCCTATTCATGAATAGTACCCGCGGTATTGTTCATGAACAGTACCCTCGGGTACTGTTCCCTCGGGTACAAAAAAAAAAAAAAAAAAATAATAATAATAATAATAATAATTTGGAAACTATATACATATAAATCTTACCTGTTGTATCTGAATTATTTCAAATAGTTGGAAATTTCCCGTATTCCCCGGAAATAAAGAAGAAACGACTCTTCCAACCTTTATTATTTTTAGGGGTTGCAACAAGGAGGAATGTCTTCTTTGATCTACACTGGAAGTACCAAAAATTGTCTTTTTTCTTCTTGGGATAATAAAAATGCAGGAATTGATTTACTATTAGACGGCCATTGCCACACTTTCCCCAAACAATCAAACAGCCTATAATAATTCTCCATGAATTAGGAGCAATTTGAGAAGGAGCTATCTTCAGATGAGAAAGAATTTCTTCTACAAATGGATGAATCGGAAAACGCAAGCCCGCAGCAAAAGTCGACTCGAAAAAACATACCTCACCCAAACGAATAGAAGAACATCTATCTTCTGGTTTGGGTTTGTGAA